AAAAAAAAAATGGGTGCATTTTATTATAGTTAATTACACCTCAATTAAGTCAACTAAAGCAACAACAAAACAGCAAAGCAGATTTCCCTTTAAAATTCAACGAGCTGAACACTGCCCTAGGTATATACTCAACAGAAATGCAAAGAAACATACAAAAACATTCATAGCAACAATACTCAAAATAGGCAAAAACTGGGGACAACTCAAAAGTCCCCCAACAGGAGAAGAATAAATAAAATATGGGGAATTGCCTGGCGGTCCAGTGGTTAGAACTCTGCACTTTCACTGCCATGGGCCCTGGTTCAATCCCTGGTCGGGGAACTAAGATCCTGCAAGCACACAGCACGGCCCCCTGCCAAAAAAAGTGGTATATGCATGCCATGGAGTACCATTCAGCCCATACCTAATATTTATCAAGATAAACCAGACACAGCCGAGCCCAGCCTCTGTTTTATTCTATTCATATAAAGTTCAAAAACAGGCTTAGGGTGGCTGTTACTGATTAGGGATAGCAACCAGAAGAGCATACAAGGGATTTCTGGGGGCTGGTAAACGTTTTGTTTCTTGATCGGATGTTAGTTATCCTTGACTGTGTTCAGTTTATAAAAATTCATCCTGCTATACTGTAATGATATGTGCATTTTTCTGTATGTGTGTTATATTTTAATTAAAACATTTGCTTTAATTTAGAAAACAAATTTATGGTTACCAAAGGGGAAAGGGTTCAGGGGGAGGGATAAATTAGCAGTATGGGATTAACAGATACAAATTACTATACATAAAATAGATAGGCAACAAGGATTTACTGTATAACACAGGGAACTGTATTCAATATTTTGTAATAACCTATAATGGAAAATAATCTGAAATGTATATATGTGTATATATATATATAACTGAACCACTTTGTTGTACACCTGAAACTAACACAATATTGTAAATCAACTAGTACATCAAACTTTTTTTTGATTTTTAAAACTGGTAATGGTTTTTTTTAAGAGGTATTAATCAGAAGGTAGACAGCACCCATAAATCCAGAACAGTAAAGTATGGGAAAGCAGGGTGGGGCTGGCATCTGTGTTCCCTCGGCCATGGGGGTTGGCAGCTGAGCAGGTTGGGGGGAGGGCAAATTCTTCTCCATTCCTCTCTGTCAGCCCATTCTGAGCTCTCAGCTCCTGGTGGTCAGCAAAGGTGAGAATGACTTGTGAGAACAAAGCCTGGCGTGAAAGGCTCTGGGTGGTTGGCCAGGCAGCCCTGCTCCCATCAAGGCTCTCCGCTTGGTTTCTCACAACAGGTTCTGGGGGGCAGGTCTGGGCAGGTTCCTTGCCCTCTGCCCACAATGGGCTGCTAACCCGCTGCTAAGAAAGAGACAGCCAGGGCTAGGGGCTG